AGTTCTCGGCGGACACAACATCTTTGTTGGTATGTGGTGCTGAGGATCGAACCCGGGCCGCACGCATGCTAGGCGAGCACGCTACCACTTGAGCCACATCCCCAGCCCTATTTATTTATTTTTATGTGGTGCTGAGGATCAAACCCAGAGCCTTGCACATGCTAGGCAAGCACTCTACCACTGAACCCCAGCCCCAGCCCAACCTGTACAATTCTTAATGTTCTGATCATGAGAAAAGTAATAGAAGTCATAAAACCCTGAATACAAAAAAAAAATGAAAAAACCCCACAAAACTGGCAGATAACGTCCAAGGGCCTCGAATGCAGTGGTGTCAGAGGGCCATTGAGGGGCCCTCTGTTTGAGCAAGAGGGACAGAGGACGCTGGATAGAGCAAGTCTAGCTGATGGCAGTTCTCTGCCTGCTGGGCTGAGTGCCAGGAAACAAGATGTAATCTGGCCCTAGAATGTTTGGTTGAAACGGGGTGAGGCCGGAGGTGGCCCTTGGGACTTACGTGATACCGATTTCCTTCAGGTCACTCTCAGTGAGGGTCAGGAAGATGCGGAGGTCCACGTCCTGCTCCTCAAACACCTGCAGGTACTTCAGGCAGCCAATCTGCTCCAGCAGTGTTGCAAGATCCTAGAGGGCCCAAGAGACATGCAGGAGCGGGAAGCTGGGGCAGGAGCGGCGGCTGCGAGCAGAACCAGGCTCCTCCTCTCCTAACACCCCCTTCCTCAAGGTGCAACCTGGTCTGAGCCCACTGGATTCCCAAGCTCAGCTCCGGGACAATTTGCTTGTAGGTAGAGGCTCCATGCCACCCCTCTGCCTGCAGTACATCAGGCAGAACAGGGAGTCTGGATGTACAACCGGGGCTGAGGAGGCCAAGAAGGGGCACATTCCAAGACTTCTTGCTCACTGCTGTTACCCTTCTCTCGTATTCCCTTGGACATTTGACTGCTGCGTGTGGCAACTGTTCAATTCCATAAAGGTATCAATGGAGCCTTTAATTTAAGAATCCCTGGTGATGAGTCCTGGCTCTGGTTCCTTTTGGGAGTCTCCTCTTCGAGGATTTCATGCCTGCTTGTCTACATGCACATCTCCTACTGGCAAAGCACCAAGCCCTGGTGTGCAGACCCATGCTCTTGGTGGGACCTGGGAAGGGCAGGCTGCTCTTTACATGCTTCCTCTGTCCTCCTTCCTGCTGCATAAGGTTGCATGTTGGTGGCTGGTGGCACATCACAGCTTCTGCTCACATCTCTTCATTCTGTGTGTCTCAGACCAGACACCCTCAGATGGCCCAAGTCAATTTGCTAATTCTTCTGCCTGCTCTAATCTGCTCTTGGACTCAGCTAGTGAAATTTTTATTTCAGTAGCACTTTTCAACTTTGGAATTTCTATTGTGCAAGTTTTTTGTTGCTTTGAATGAAGGACCAAATTTTCCAAGGTGGCTGCTTCACAATTCCACAGGACCATAAACTCTCCAATCAGCTTCCACAGGCCTGAGATGGAGCCTGCAATGCTTACATATTTGTACCGTTCGTGCTGCCACAGGGCAGGAGAGCACCAGAACTACACTGGTAACCCCCAGCTTGCTCCACAGGGTGGCCTGCCACAAGGAAGGGGCTGCTGCACTTTTCATCATGTGCCATCATGCTGTCCCCACTTCATAAGCATCTCATCACTGACTTCTGGAGGCAGCTCTGAAATCTGTTCCCCAAGGCTGGGGAGGCCAAGTTGACGTGGACAGTAAGGGAACAGAGTGCAATCCCGTCCATGAAGAGGTGAAAACCGCTCCATCTAGGCCACTGACTGTTAGGGAGTTCATCTAGAAAACCCACCAGCACTCTGTCCTCAACAGTGCCTGGCCTGTTACAAGTACGTAAGAAGCGCCTCTCTTAATTACTGTAATAATTCTAATGTATGCAAGCTAAACAAACAAAAACACCCTAATGAAAACATGGGGGGAGGTGTATTTGGTTTCATTCACTTTGTCCTGTCTGTTGTGGAGATGGTTACTTCATTCTTTAATTACTGTTTATTTTATCCTTGGCATCTGAATACCTTTAATTTATTTAATATCCATTGTTTAGAGTTCTGCCATTTCTTGAGTACCTGTTAGTATTAGTATTTATGTGTACCAGGAGTGTGGTTAGTATGTTTTATTTGCAGTAAACTGATCTCCAAAGATTTCCTTTTGAAGAGACTTTACCCCTTTCTTAATTTTCACATTCCTGTTTTACTAAATATTAAGTGTTCTTGGACAATTTTGGTGCTCATGTGTTTTGGGGACAAAAGTGAAATGACTTTGTCATTACACTTTTTAACTCACAGATCAAATGTGCCTTATTTTTTTTTTCATTTAGATTTCAAACAGTTAATAGGCTTGCCATTTTAATACACATCATTGGAGATCTGCTTATTTGTAAATAGTCTATTGCTCATTTGGAAAAATAAACCAGTGAACAATATTTTTCTGTTGTAAAAAAAAAAAAAAGAAGCGCCTCTCAAATCACAAAAGCACCATCTTTCCAAGAGTAAAATCACCAGATTCACAAGTGGTCTTACCTGGGGTCCTGTGTAGGATGACCTCTCAGCTTGGGGCACACATCTTGGGGAATAGGCTGTTCCACAAGTCCCGGAGCTGGGAGGCCACTGGCTATCACTGGTGCTGGAACGATTCTTAGTCTTCACATAACTCTTGGTTTGTCTGCGAACGGAGCTTTTACGGACATGATCTGAATCCTGTGGCAAGAGGTGTGTGTTGGGAGCAATGTGACTGCGGGCTGCAGCCCTGCCCTGCTCCCAGCTCCGGGCTTAGCTGTGCTGTTGCCCTTGTAGGACTGTGAGACCTGAAGCACTGATCAAACACCCCCCACCAGCCACAGAGGCCTCCTTGGTAACGGCAGGGCGGGCCCCCAACGGTGCCTTTGGTGTGTTCTGAGCACAGTGTAGACTGCACTAGATACTTATTATCAGGCTGGCCCATTCCCAGTGAACTGTGAGGCAGCCCCAAGACACGAAGGAAGGGGAGTGAGATGGGAGAGGGGAGACATCACCTCATTGCTCTCCAGGGAGGCTTCACTGCTGAGCCCCTGGGCTCTCACCAGGCCCTCACTGCTGCTGCTTCGCACGGCCCCAAGGCTGGCACAGAAAACAGGCTCCTCTGGGAACAGAAGACAGGATGCCTGAGAGGCCTCACCGGGGAGGGCAGAGGGGGCGCCCCAGAGCCTGTGCCTGGGCCTGGTTAGCCAGCTCTCTGCAACTCCTTCCAAGCTGAGTGCTGCTTCAGCTTCCTGCTGTATGTCCTGGAGGCCCCCAATAAGGGTGGGCAGGGTACTCGTCCTTTCTGTGCACTGATAAATCCCAAGCACCTAGAACAGCACCAAACTAAACACGTCTCCCCCCACAGAATGGCTGTGAGGGCCTTCTAGCCCCAGCCTGGTTTTCCTCCCAAGAACCAGGGCCTTCTATAATCTCTCCTGCTCAGGGGAGCCCAGCAGGACGGGCGGGAGGCATACCCCGGCTGCTGCTGCTGCTGCTCTCCACGTCCCGCTCATTGATGGGGGAGGTGACATCCCGGTAGCAAAGGCCCTCACCTTCCAGGAGGTTCTCGTCACTGCTGGTGAAGGTCATGTAGCCTCGTGGAGGCAGCTGCTCTGTGTACACAATGGGGCAACAAACCCACAAAATATGAGAGTAAAGACAGGCCCTTGTTCTAGGGGCACCAGCCTCGGGGGTTCTCAGGTGAGGGGACCAGGACGCAGGCAGCAGGCGGGGAACCTTGTGGCCCCTGGCCATGGCTGTCGTCTGTAGTTGGCAGGTGAGGAAAGAGGCTGAGAGGGTTTTAGAGACCAGCCTGTCTCAGTAAGAGCCTGGCAGCGCAGAGCCAGTGGCCAGGGCCTCTACAGTCCCCTCACTGCTGCTTTTTAAAAAATTTTTATTTTTATATCTTTTAGTTGTTGATGGACCTTTATTTCATGCACTTATATGCGGTGCTGAAAAATCAAACCCAGGGCCTCACGCGTGCTGGGCAAGTGCACTACCACTGAGCCACAACCCCAGTCCTCACTGCTGCTTCTTCAAGGGGAAAAGTGAGAACAGCCAGCCAGATTTACAGGCACCTAAGCCAGAGAAGCCACCCACGAGGGCTCCTGCTAGCTGGGAACACCTACTTCCCCCTCATCCCCACCCCCGTACACCAGGTATGTATCCCCTGTGGCTTTTTTAAACATGGGCATTTAGAAGTCATCAGTTCCCCTGAATCGATCAAGTCCAGCTAAAAGGATACCTGGTTAAAAAAGAAAAAGGCCCTGAGCTAAAAACTAACAGCAGCAATGCAAAACATGACCCTTGAATACACTGGCCCACGGAAAACAAGTACAGCCAGGCCCGCCTGTGCTCACCTGTAGGCCGGAGCACCAGAAGGTCACTTGAGCCCAGGGGCTCAGGGCCAGCCTGGACAGCATAGCAAGAGCCCATCTCAAAAACCACCACCACAAAAAAAACAGCTCAGGGCTGGGGTTGTGGCTCAGCACTCACCTAGCATGTTGTGGTACAGCACTCACCTAGCATGTGCGAGGCCCTGGGCTCAACCCTCAGCACCACATACAAATAAATAATATAAAGGTATTGTGTCCAACTACAGCTAAAAAATAAATATTTAAAAAGAAAAAAAAAATCAATACCTCAAGAGGAGCAGAGGCAGAGCCTTCGCGGCCTGGAGGCAAATTTGTCTCTGCCCAGGGCATGTGGGCAGAGCCAGGGCAGGCCCTTTACATGTCCCTCCACTGTGGACCCACCCACTCACTGAAGGAAATCAGGGCTTAGCTTCATTTCCACAGCAGAAAAAAAACTGCTAGTTTTACCCAATGAGAAGGAGATAAACCCACACCCAAGAGCTAACCAGTAACTCACACCCTCATCACTGGGATCAGTTCTGAATCTCCCTGAGCATCAAAGGCTGTCCCACAGCAGCCTGAGGCCAGGGTCTGAGTGTTGTCCCCTCTCTGTCAAGAGAGAATCCTGAGATGCAACACCAAAGGGCCCTCTGGAAGTATAGACTGCTCACCACCGTGGGGCTGCGGGGTCTCGCCTCCAAGTCCAATTGCTGTGATCCTGGCCAAGGCGCGAGGCCCTTCGTGGATGCTGAGGCCCTTCTTGCGACAGGGCCTCTGTCTCTGAGCAACAGGGTAAGACTCATCCGAAGAGCTCAGATCTTCATATTTTTCTGTGGGCCAAACATAAAGTTAAGATGATCTGTTCCATGATGGACTGATTTACTAGTCTTTACAGTAAAATGGAAAAAACAATCATAACTAGTATTCCTAAATAAAGAAGGGAAGTGTATTTACCAGAACTCGACTAGTGACAAATGCCAGGACTGGCCAGTCCCTGCTAAGGCCACAAGGAGCTGTTAAGTTACCCGTGACAGGGGACTTGAGTTCTTACTTCTCTCTTTGGGTTTACAAAATTTTTTATAACAAGTCTGTATTGTTTGTAATTAGAAATTTTGAGGGAGGACCTCAATGGTGAAGGGTTTACCTAGCATTTAAGAAGTCCTGGGTTCAGTCCCAGTATTTCAAAAAGGAACAAAATTTCATTCTAAGTTGAAGGGATAAGTAAATATATTTCTTCATAAAAACATACTAATATCAGACACAACTTTTTTATTTTTTTTGGTACCAGGGTTTGAACTCAGGGATACTCAACCACTGAGCCACATCCCCAGTCCTATGTTGTATTTTATTTAGGGACAGGGTCTCACTGAGTTGCTTAGCGACTGGCTTTTGCTGAGGCTAGCTTTGAACTCGTGATCCTCCTGTCTCAGCCTCCTGAGCTGCTGGGACTACAAGTGTACACCACCATGCCTGGTTTAATCATGTACTTTTAACACAAAATTTGGGGATTTAGTTGTATAGGGCTCCCCTTGATCATTGATACTATTTCTTTTTCTTTTAGTACCAGAGATTGAACTTGAGGTGCTTAATCACTAAGCCACATCCCAAACCCATTTTTTTAATACCTTTTTTAAAAACTTATTTTTACGTGGTGCTGAGGATTGAACCCAGGGCCTCACATGCGCTAGGCAAGCACTCTACTGCTGAGCCACAACCCCAGCCCCCAAAACCTGTTTGTTATTTTATTTTTTGGTAGTAGAGATTGAATCTAGGGGTGCTTAATCACTGAGATACATCCTTTTTCATATTTTATTTAGAAACAGGATCTCACTAAGTTGCTAAGTGACTCACTAATCTGCTGAGGCTGGCTTTGAACTCACAGTCCTCCTTCCTCAGCCCCTCAAGCTGCTGGGATTATAGATATACACCACTGCGCCTGGCCGTTTTTTATGTTTTATTTAGAGATAGGGTCTTGCTAAGTTGCTTAGGGCCTCAATAAATTTCTGAGGCTGGCCTTGAAGTTGTGGTCCTCCTGCCTCTGCCTCCTGAGCCACTAGGATTACAGGTGTGCATTACCACTTCCAGTTTGATTCTTCTTTTGAGAGACAACTGAGGCATGTAAATGAGGAACTGGCAAGATTATTTGAGCTAGTATTTACTATAAATATGGATATTATAGTATACTATAAATACTCTATGTAGTATTTACTATAAATGATCCCGAGCAGGAAAGGTGGCTGGCTGTGTGCCTGGCTCTGGGAGGAGGCAGACCAGCCCCTTCAGATGTGAACTGCTGGCGTAAGTGAGTCACAGAACGAGAGACCAGGGAGGCTACTCTTTCCTATACATGCAAAGACCTACACTGCGAGGAGAATATGGTTCCATCTGAGCAGATAAAGGAAGTTATGTGAAAACAGAAACAAGGAGGAGGTGAGTGAGGTAAAGTGGCTGTAGGAAATGGAACATCCCACACATTCTCAGAATGGTTCAAAATAAATGAATGGGCAAGTGGGGAGCAGGCCAATGGAAAAAAGAAGCCAGGGTGGAATCATGCCATCAGATTAAAATTAGGCCAAGTCGGGCCTGCTGGTGCACGCCTGTACTCCCAGCTACTCAGGAGGCTGAGACAGGAGGATCGCAAGTTAAAGACTAGCCTGGGCAACTTAGTTAGACCCTGTCTCAAAATAAAAAATAAAGAAGGGCTAAAGATGTGGCTTGGTGGCTAAGTGTCCCTGGATTCAATACCCAGTTTCAAAAAATATTTAAAAAATAAAAAAATTTTTTAAATAAAAAGGTTGTAGAAATAGGGCTGGGGTTGTAACGGCTCAGTGGTAGAGCACTCACCTAGTGTGCATGAAGCACTGAGTTTGATCCTCAGCACCACAAAAAATAAAATAAAGGTATTGTGTCCACCTATAACTTAAAAAAAAAAAAAAAAAAAAAGGTGGAGTTGGGGTTGTGGCTCAGTGGTAGAGTGCTTACCTAGCATGCATGAGGCACTGGGTTCGATCCCTCAGCACCACATAAATGTAAAATAAAGATATTGTGTCCACCTAAAACTTAAGAATAAATATTTTTTTTAAAAAAAGTTGTGGAAATAGCTCAATGATAGAACACCCCTGGGATCAATCCTCAGTACCAAAAAAAAAAAAAAGGATTTTTTTCACCAAGTGGGAACTACAGATAAAATTCACAATCATCTCCACAGATGCAGACAAAGGTCCTTGGCAGCCAGGCACAGTGATACACACCTATAATCCCAGTGACTCAGGAATCTGAAGCAGCAGGATCACAAGTTCCAGGCCAGCCTCAGCAATACAAGTGAGACCCTGTCTCAAATTTTAAAATTTTAAAAAGGGCTGGGAATGTAGCTCAGTGATGGAGACCCCTGGGTTTAATCCCCAGCATCCCAAAACAAAAACCAAGAAAAGAATAAGTCCTTATCAAAATGCAAAGGATATTCCTATTTTTAAAAACAAAACAAAACAAAACCCTGAAACATACAGGAATGGATGGAGACTTCCCTAACATGGCCAGCCTCTTAATGTGGCATTGTACCAAGACCAGGACCAAGGTGAAGACATGCACTAGTGCTCTGTCATGCTTGAACACTACAGATGAGAAGTGTCACAAGATCAGGCATGAGAATCAGAGCAGAGGATTATCTTGATTTGTAGTTTGTACTGTAGTAAACCTAGAAAGTTCCAGAGAATCAATAATAAACTAATTTGAACAATGGAAGAATTCAGTAAGGGCAGAGTACAAAATTAGCGCAGAGACATCAACTGCCTTCATACACACTGAGAATAAGCAGTTAAGAATACAATGAGGGGCTGGGGCTCAGTGGCAGAGCGCTCACCTAGCAAGTGCGAGGCCGTGGGCTCACTCCTCAGCACCACGTAAAAATAAATAAATAAAACAAGGGTATTGTCCAACTACAACTAAAAGATATAAATATTTAAAAAAAAAAAAAAGAATACAATGGTAGCAAAAACTCCATTTAGGACAGCAACAAAGATAGTCAAACACTTTAGAATAAACACAGGCAAAATGCATATGAAAAAAAATTTAAAACCTTCTTGAAAGCCCCCAAAGTAGAAGAGAACCAAACACATTCTTTTTCTTCTGGATGGGATGATGTAACCACATAAAGATATAGTAAATTTACAAATTTATCACCATCTGAATAAAAATAGTACTTTTCAAGGAGTTGGATAAGTTGATTCTCAAATCCACATGGGGGAAAACACACCAAACACACCCAAAACTTGGAGAAACATGAAAAGGTTGAGCTGTGAGGGGAAATAGCCCTAATCTAGAGTGAAACTAGCTACAAAAGGCTTTTGGTCAAACAGTGTGTGGCTCGTGGGCACAAATACAGAGACCAGTGGAACAGAACACAGGTAAAATGGAAATTCAGTAGATAACAAAGATCGAATCTCCAGCCACTAGATCAAAGCTGGCTTTTTACATAAATGATACTGGTGCAACTTGGAAGAAGAAAATTGTTGGACATGGTGGTGCACAACTATAATCCCAGCTACCTGGGAGGCTGAGGCAAAAGGATCAAAAGTTTAAGGACATTTTGGACTACTTAGCAAGATCCTATCTCAATACAAAAATTTTACAAAAAAGCTGGAGAAGTAGCTCAGTGATAGAGCTTCCTCGGGTCCAAACCCCAGTGAAAAGGAAAAAAAATAAAAAGATAAAACTGGATCCATGCCTCATGACATGTGAAGAAAAAGTATAAATGGACAGGGATCTAAATGTAAAAACTGAAACCATAGGGTTGGGGCTGTATTCCAGTGGACAAGCACCTTCACAGCACTTCTGAGAGGCCCTGGGTTTGACACCCAGCACCAAACACACAAGGACTAGCATTAAACCTGGAAAGTCTCGGTATTTTCCTCTTGGTATTAGGGATCAAACCCATTGGCACTCTGCCACTGCACTACATTCCCAGCCCTTTTTATTTTTTGAGAAAGGGTCTACGCTGCTTAGGGCCCTGCTAATTGCTGAGGCTAACCTTGAGTTCACCATCCTCCTGCCTCAGCTTCCAGAGTTACTCGGATTACAAATACCCCAGGGTGCCTCGCTCACGGGTGAATTTTTGTACAACTAGGGCCTAGGGAGATTGTGTTTTTACAATACCAAGGTTTGGACTCCAGGAAGCTTTACACTGAGCTACAACCCTAGTCCTTTGTGTTTTTGGTTTTGAGACAGGGTATTGCTAAGTTGCCTGGGCTGGCCTTGAACATATGATCCCTGTCTCAGATTCCTGAGTAGCTGAGATTACAGATGTGTACAACCATGCCATACTGGGAAAAATTTTCTGATTCAAAATCCACAGGCAATAAAGATCAATACATTTAGCAATGAACACTATCAGCAAAATAAAAAAATAAAAAACAGGACTGGGGGGGCTGGGGATGTGGCTCAAGCGGTAGCGCGCTCGCCTGGCATGCGTGCGGCCTGGGTTCGATCCTCAGCACCACATACCAACAAAGAT